CCTCCCTCAGGACAGGGCAGAAACAGCTGGAGGAGGCTGGCCTGCTGAGTGCTCCGGGCCTGAGGATTAATTGGAGAAAAGGCTTCAGTGGGAGAGAAGCTGGCTACAGGCCTACAACTGGACAATTTATAGCCCAGCTCCAAGAGGTGAGGACACCCATGGAAGGAGGGGCAGAGGGACTGGTTAAAATACAGACCAGCTCCATGGAGGAAAGCTGGGGACTCTGCTTTTCAGAGAGCAGACCAAAACTCTTATTTTGACCTGAAGTGGGGTGATCTGGGGCAACTAACCAAAGTGGGCTACACTTGGCAGAAAGATTTAATAAATCAGACCCCATGAAGGGGTACATAGAATCATAGGACTGGAAGGGACCTCGAGAGGTCATCTAATCCAGTCCCCCGCACTCATGGCAGGACTAAGTATTATCTCAATCATTACTGACCCGTATTTATCTAACCTGCTCTGAAAAATCTACAATGATGGAGATTCCACAACTTCCCTAGGCAATTTATTCCAGTGCTTAACCACCCTGACAGTTAGGAAGGTTTTTTTTTTTTTCCCAACCTAACCTCCCTTGCTGCAATTTAAACCCATTGTTTCTTGTCCTATCTGCAGAGGTTAAAAAGAACAATTCTTCTCCCTCTTCCTTGTAACAACCTTTTATGTACTTGAAAACTGGTATCATGTGTCCTCTCAGTCTCCTCTTTTCCCAAACAAACCCAATTTTTTCAATCTTCCCTCATAGTTCATGATTTCTAGACCTTTAATCATTTTTGTTGCTCTTCTCTGGACTTTCTCCAATTTGTCACATCTTTTCTGAAATGTGGCACCCAGAATTGGACACAATACTCCAGTTGAGGCCTAATCAGCGCAAAGTAGAGACGAAGAATTACTTCTCGTGTCTTGCTTACAACACTCCTGCTAATACATCCCAGAGGATGTTTGCTTTTTTTTTTGCAACAGTGTTACACTGTTGACTCATATTTAGCTTGTGGTCCACTATGACCCCCAGCTCCCTTGCCACAGTACTCCTTCCTAGGCAGTCATTTCCCATTTTGTATGTGTGCAACTGATTGGTCCTTCCTAAGTGGAATACTTTGCATTTGTCCTTATTGACTTTCATCCTATTTACGTCAGACCATTTCTGCAGTTTGTCCAGATGATTTTGAATTTTAATCTTATCCTCCAAAGCACTTGCAACCCCTCCCAGCTTGGTATCATCCGCAAACTTTATAAATGTACTGTCTAGGCCATTATCTAAATCATTGATGAAGATATTGAACAGAACTGGACCCAGAACTGATTCCTGTGGGACCCCATTCATCATGCCCTTTGAGCATGACTGTGAACCACTGATAACTACTCTCTGGGAATGGTTTTCCAACCAGTTTTGCACCCGCCTTACAGTAGCTCCATCTAGGTTGCATTTCCCTAGTTTGTTTATGAGACAGTCATGCGAGACACTATCAAAAGCTTTACTAAAGTCAAGATATACCACATCTACTGCTTCCCCCCATCCACAAGGCTTGTTACCCTGTCAAAGAAAACTATCAGGCTGGTTTGACATGATTTGTTCTTGACAAATCCATGCTGTTACTTATCACCTTATTATCTTCTAGATGTTTGCAAATTGCTTAATTATTTGCTCTATTATCTTTCCGGGTACAGAAGTTAAGCTGACTGGTCTGTAATTCCCCAGGTTGTCCTTATTTCCCTTTTTATAGATTGGCACTATATTTCCCCTTTGCCAGTCTTCTGGAATCTCTCCTGTCTTCCATGACTTTTCAAAGATAATCGCTAATGGCTCAGATATCTCCTCAGTCAGCTCCTTGAGTATTCCAGGATGCATTTCATCAGGCCCTGGTGACTAGAAGACATTCATTTGTCTAAGTAATTTTTAACTTGTTCTTTTCCTATTTTAGCCTCTGACCCTACCTCATTTTCACTGGCATTCACTATGTCAGACGTCCAATCACCACCAACCTTCTTGGTGAAAACCGAAATAAAGAAGTCATTAAGCACCTCTGCCATTTCCAAATTTTCTGTTATTGTTTCCCTATGCCCCTCATTGAGTAATGGGCCTACCCTGTCCTTAGTCCTCCTGTTGCTTCTAATGTATTTGTAGAATGTTTTCTTGTTACCCTTTATTTCTCTAGATAGTTTGATCTTCTTTTGTGCCTTAGCCTTTCGAATTTGTCCCTATATACTTGTTATTTGTTTATAGTCATCGTTTGTAATTTGACCCCGTTTTCACTTTTTGTAGGACTTTTTTTATTTTTGGATCATTGAAGATCTCCTGGTTAAGTCCGGGTGGTCTCTTGCCATACTTCCTATCTTTCCTATGCAGTGGGATAGTTTGCTCTTGTGCCCTTAATAATGTCTCTTTGAAAAACTGCCAACTGTCTTCAATTGTTTTTCCCCTTAGACTTGCTTACCGTGGGATTTCACCTACCAACTACCTGAGTTTGCTAAAGTCTTCTCTCTTGAAATCCATTGTCTTTATTGTGCTGTTCTCCCTCCTACCATTCCTTAGAATCATGAACTCTACCATTTCATGATCACTTGCACCCAAGCTGCCTTCCGCTTTCAAATTCTCAACCAGTTCCTCCCCATTTGTCAAAATAAAATCTAGAACAGCCTCTCCACTAGGAGCTTTCTCCACCTGCTCAAATAAAAAAATTGTCTCCAATACATTCAAAGAACTTGTTGGATAATCTGTGCCCTGCTGTCTTATGTATTGAATCAATTTAGTCTGAGTAATTAATTGAAAGAACCCAAGGGGGCGCTGAGTGCAATGACTCTGCAGGGGCGGGGCTCAAAGGGGCATATAAAAGAGGCCTGATTAGCTCTTTATTTCAAAAGCTAAAGGGCCACCCCATGTGATGAGGCCAGGAGCCCACTCGTTGTTTCTTTCCAACCTGAGTTTATCAATACAGAAAATCCAACAGTGACCCTTGATTAATCTCCCTTTTCCACAAGTCCAAGCAACAGCATGTACCACTCTATGAATATGTTTAGTGAACTTTTGTAACCTATATATTTAATAACCTATAGCAAACATGGACTCTTCTTTTTATTTTATTATATTTTTTATTACTCACCAAGCTATTTATTTATAATCTGAAAGACAAGCTTTTCCAGGTCTGATCATTTCAAGTTCTTCAAATTTGGAATGTTGTCTCTTGAAAGATTTTTGCCTTTACATTCATTCTAAATTCATCCTTCATTGATACCACTGCACTTCTATTATGTTCAGTACTATTGTACAGGTGTAATCAAGGGTTGAATTTAGTTACTTTTAAACAGTTTTTTTTTAAGGGGAAATTAATTGAGGGAAAGATCACCCCTTACCTCAGGAGAGGACTAAGGGAACAGAATGTGATGTTTACCCATATGGAATTTTCTCCCAAATCGTTTCATTGGGCAGGAAGAGGGAAGAGTTTGAGCACCTCTTACTGGAATAGATTGAAGGTCCTGCACTGTAGCCCCATAGATCTGGGAGATCTACTCTTCAGGACATGCTATTCGTGCATATAGAAATGTAATGCGTCTGCTTTCCCATGTCACCGGCACATTATTTTTACTACTAGTAGTAGTATTACTGTTGCACCTATATTCCCAAATCTGTGGCAGTTACACTTTGTAGTTTGAAGCGTTCAATTAAAGAGGCAGAGATAAAATTGTTTGGGTGCTGGGCATTGAGACTTCTGTTTAATGATCTCTTTATGTGAATTTGATATTAATGTTGGTATTATCATTGTTAATTATAACCTTTGCTTGTGATTTACATAGTTTTTAATATTTGGGGTTTTTAATTATATGTTTAATGGTAGGTCTTTTCTTGAATTTCACTTAACAACCTTAATTGTGACTTTTATTTCAAATTTTCACAAAATTTCAAAAGATATTGACTGGCATGGATAGTTCATATGGAAATTTTTGTTCTTTGGGTTGACAAAGTGTGTATCCCGAAGAACAATTCTCTCAGCTTGTGGCTTTTATGGATTATTTTAAAGATATAATGATAAAATAAATAAATATAATGAAAATGCTATACAAGAGATAGAAGAGAAGAGGTAAGAAATGGAGGACACTGTCTCTGACAAAAATAAGCAAGATTGGAGGAAAAATGCAAATGAATAGTACCTTTCTGAATATACTAGGTCTATAAACTCTGAAAGAAGCTTTCATAAAAAAATCAGATTATTTCACCAGTACCAGAAAACAAACAAACAAACAAACAAAAACAGTGCAATAGTTTTCCACAGTAGTTCTTCATGCCAAGTAATCTATAACCTTGATCTTGCAAAAGGATCCACTCATGCAAACACTCTCTTACAGAGTTCTATTGATTTCACTAGGGACATCACCGGGGTTTAGGGCTCTATGTGCTTGAACTTTTTAAAAGTGTAGGGCCTATGAATTCAATCTACAATAAGTACCTCACTGATATCTGAAATATTCATTTCTGATGATATAAAAATATATCAACATACAATTGTACCGACTTTAATATGAAAACTCATTCCAAAATAATCCTCACTAATTAATATGGAAACAAGTACCTACTGGATATAGAGAGGGATGATTTCATTTTTTAAGGACAAAAATAAACAAATCATAGCAAGCAAACCACAGTAAGTACTATATTGACTGGTAAATGGCACCAGCAGCTCAATGAAAATAAATATTCAATACTACACTTAGGAGAAAAGAATCAAAACAATGACTCTATGCAAGTAGAGCTGGTAGGAATTTTTACAAAAAAATAAAAATTGACCAATTTTGCACAGATTTTTGTTTCCATTTTTAACCAGTTGTAATAATAGCATATTGGCCAGGAGAGAGATTCAGGAGATACTTAAACTTTATTAAAACAATTATTTTACCTATGTTATAAATATTATACACCTATTTTATACACCAAATTAAGTAGATAGGTTTACTTTCAGTATTAAAAGATCTGCACACATTTCATTCATATAACATGTTTTACTCACTTTCCAGGGAAGAAAATCTTGAAAAATGTAGTCAAAATAGTTATATGAGCTTTCTGCATTACATTTTCATTACTTCCATTTTTGTTTGTTGCTAAGTATTACTTATGTTTTTCAGTGTTAATTTTCTGCATGCACATAATTCTGTTTTTTCTCTTGCTGCATTCTGCTGCATCCAACTTTTCTTTCTTTTTACTTCGATTTCTTGAGCTTCATTTCCTTGTGGTCCTGATTTTTTTCATATACCTCCTTTGTGTATCCCGCTTATTTATCTCTTTTCTCGCTTTCCAATTCTCTCTCTCTCCACGTCTTCCCTTTCTGTTTCTCTTCTCTTTCTGTGCACATACTACCAACATTGTTTCAGCAGCAGCTTGAAACTAACAAGACTCTCAACGGCTGCTTGTCTTGGGGCTTAGAGCTCAGAGTTTTGTCTGCTTCAAGCTGCTTTGGAGAAAGTACAAAATTTATCGGAAGGACAGAACAGGTCATGCGGGGGAGGGGGGAGTGGCACTATATGTGAATGAAAATGTACAATCAAATGAAGTAAAAATCTTAAGCAAATCCACATGTTCCATAGAATCTCTATGGACAGAAATTTCATGCTCTAATAAGAATATAACATCTATTATCGACCACCTGACCAGGACGGTGATAGTGATGTTGAAATGCTAAGGAAAATTAAGAACTCAATAATAGTGGGGGATTTCAATTATCCCCATATTGACTGGGAACATTTCACTTCAGGATGAAATGCAGAGATAAAATTTCTCGATACTTTAAATGACTGCTTCATGGAGCAGCTGGTACGGGAGCCCACAAGGGGAGAGGCAACTCTAGATTTAGTCCTGAGTGGAGCGCAGGAGCTGGTCCAAGAGGTAACTATAGCAGGACCGCTCGGAAATAGTGACCATAATACAATAGCA